ATCGGCCATCGGCCACCCTGCTTTCCAAGATATCGGCATCGGCTGTCAAAAAACCAATATCGGTCAACCACTAATTTTGATAGTGGTTATTTATCAGTCAGGATAATATATTCACTAGTTTTAAGATTTAACTCATCTGTCATTGTGATTATGGCAAAGATTAAACCATTTAAGTTATCTTGAAGAATGTTTTCCATCTCTCATAAAATACTTAGCAGATTATTACAATCCATTGATTATTCAAATCCATTGATCCACTGATCAGAGACTTCAGAGACTAAACAGCATCCCATAGGTCCCTCTATTATTATGAGCATTTTTTTCTCATACAAACAGTGTATACTTTTGTTCTATGGCAGATTTCAAAGGATTTATTTGTATGAGATACAGTATACATGTGTGTTGTCTGAGCTCTGGGTCTTCATGGCTCAGGTAAAGGAGATGAGTGGGCTGCTGGATCTCTGATGAGTGACTTTCTCTCCTCTCACAGACAAATACAGCAGCAGCAGCAGTGTCAACAAGAGGCAGCGTCTGCTGCAGGACTTCATGAGCTCCATCGACCAGACGGGGGAATTCCTGACACTGGTGGAGGAAGAGGAGGTGGATGAAGTCAAGCAGGAGCGGCTGGAGGTGAGTAGGAGGCGAGAGCAGAAATGTGCACGCTTCAGCGAGGGTGCACGACACAGGCTAGGATTGTGGGAGAAATTCAATGGGATTGTCCTGCGGTCACAGAAAGAGAAGGAGCGGTTCATTCTTTTATGATAAAGATCGGCCAAATTCACTAAAACCCTGCGTTTTATTCATGAACCACTATGTCATGCATATTGAAATTAAGATTTGAAATGTTTTTACAGGCACAACAATACATTATCTATCAAAAATCAGTTTATTATACAAATCCATTTACATTACATTTACAAAATGATTAAAACATTTAAGAAAATATACAAATAAAAATTTATATATATATAATTTATATTTTTTATTTATATGTTTTAAAGGTTTAAATATTAAATTACATTTTTATTTTTTTTAACCAAGGCTATTATATTTCATAATATATTAGTTTTACCATATACCATGCCATATTTAATTATAATATAATTTTTAATAAATTAAAAATTTTAAATGTATTGTACATAAAGAATATATTACTTGTAATTGCGTGAAATGTAATTGAAATTTTTTTCTTCTTCTTTTTTTTACATTAATTCACAATGTTCCCTAGATTTAAAAGTAGATTACTTTTAGTCCATTTTAGTTCATTTGATTCAGTTTCCATTCACACTGCTGTTTTTTTTAATTATTATTTATTTAAACCAATGGCATTTTTAACATATTATATATCAAACCATATTATCATACTTTTACCATATTATTTGAATTATAATACAATTATATATTTTTTTTTTCGTACAATAATTATGTAATTCAGCTTCTTCAACTAATTATTTATTTATTTATTTCTCTTTGTGCTTATGGCAGCAGTGACTGTAGCCTAGTAAAATGTTTTGTGTATTTTTTTCAACATTGTTTGTCAAATTATTCTGTCTAGATTGCAGTTATCTGTGCAAATACTAATCATCAGTAATTTCCAATATTGTTTCTTTAGTGAATCAAGTGCTCAAACAGCTCAGACAGCGTGTGCACTTAAATGACATATTTTTTTTATCTGGATCTAAAATAAAGTTTACATTATCATAACTAGAAATTAATGTTAAAAATGTTGAACTTAAGTTGAAACAGGAAATATTGTAAAGTCAAATGAACTTCAATAAAACAATTCAGCACTAGGCAAGATTTAAATTAGTGAGTTGAAATGACTTGTACTTTTAAGTTGATTTAACTTAAAATTTTAAGGCAGCCACAAAACTTACGTTTTTAAGTTGAAAGGGGTGAAAATTTTTTACAGTGTATGAGCGAGTGCACTTTATTCCTGTAATCATTGTGGAACAGTAGTTTGACCCAAACAAGGTGTTTAAACACGTAGTCATGAACCACAGAAGCACCTGATATTGAGACGACACTGAAACATGTGGTTTTGATACTCCTGCTCCATAAAAGACAAGAAAGCAAGGCTCCGACTGCTGTCAGTAGGTCCGACTGGGTTTCATCGTCCTCCAGTAATAGTCTTAACATCTCATCTGAGTTTCCATTGTGATATTTTCCTCTGTGCACAGCAGACAGACATGCAAATATGCTATGAGTGAAACTGGAGAGCAGGAATCGACATGTCAAACGCCAACAGGAGCGTTTTCAGTCCAATCTAGGAAAGCGATGTGGTGATGCAATTCTTTATCAGTCCAAATTGGACATTGATACATGATTAAACGCACTGAATCTCTGCGAGATGAACATGAACTCTGTCCTTTTGTTCTTGCTGTGCCAAGTGAAATAAATGGTCACAGCTGAAAGATGTAATTAAAGGTCTGAAGTAAGAACCGTGGACAAGGGGGTATTATCATGAGACTTTATACGTCCCGTCTCAATTAAAACTGAGCCCCAGTCAGTTCTGGATGTGGCCAAGAAAGCCTGCGGTTTCCCCCAAAACTTTGTTCCTACTGAGTGTTTTAATGGGTATGTTTTAGCTATCAGGACAACCTTTTGGGAATAAGGAACCATATCCTTCTGGGCCTCCCACTTTGCCCCACTCATGAAGTCCTGGAGAGAGGAGCTTTATGGTTTAACCACACAGCACTGTGCTGCTTTATCTAGTGCCCCATTCACCCGCTGCCACCCCCTCGTCTTCCTTAACCAGCTCTTTTGGTGACTAACAGCACATGTCTGGTTTTCCTGCGCTCTTCCATCTGCTCACCTTACCTGCTGCTTACACATGTTATGTGTGATCATGTAGTTGTCAGATTTCAGAATAAGTTCACTTTATATCTATTATTATCTATATATATGTCTGCATATAATTAAATTTATTATATCAATTATGTATTATTAAATTGTTTGTTAAATGTTTATTATTTTATATTTAAATATTTTACAAAAGATGAAGACGTTTTTAAGATTCTGCATTTTTTGGTCACTAATCAAATTTTAGAGTGTTTGAAAACCATGAGATGTTTACAGAAGTCCATTTGCCAAAAAAGCAAAATATGTTCTGATTCAGTGGCTTAGTCAGTATATGAGTCTATTACTACTCTTAGCACTTTTATTACCGTAAATGAGACCATTTCAAAGCCCTCATTTGCATCGCCTGTTTACTCTCCAGATTTTCTCACTGCTGTGAATAAACTACAGCACTTGTGTAAATACTCAGGCCATTATTTCATAGGATTTGCAAAGCCACGGCTCGCGGGTCAAACATCTGTCAGATGTCCAGTCCAGGACGGCCGCGATCGGCTCGGATGAGGGTATAATTCATCCGCTCGCTGCTGCTACACTTGATCAGCCGGCGATGGCCCTTTCTTTCTTTCTTTCTTTTCTTTTCTTTATTATCCAAGATCTCTTTTACCATATTATTTTTGCCATATACAATGCGATTGTAATACTATACTATATTATTTTAATTGTAATATAATTCCTAACCTATTTCATTTGTAATATTTCCACTTTGGTTAAAAAACATTGAGTTTCTTTGTGTATACATGATGTTTCTTTTCCCCCATAGTAATAACTCTGTATCGTTGCATGTTACCATCATCATTTATGTATGGTAGGATGTAATGGTAAAAAATTTTAAATTAAAGTGAACCTGAAGCATTTTGCGTTCACAATGCCTGAGCTGAAATGGTCCGAGTTCAGTTCACTTCACACTGGTCTGAGTTTGTTTGGAGCATTCACATTTAAGCCAAAAGTATGCCATGAATTACAAAATGAACTCCATCAAAGTTTGTGTTTTGCGTTAGAAGAAATCTTTGCAGGACATGAACTACACATGTTTCATCACAGTGCTTATGACCTTTAATAGCTTCAGGACGTTTTTAGTGGATTTGTTTTCTCGTTTGCTCTTTCAACAATAACTGAAGTTCAAGGTGTGAGTGTCATCAGCTTCAGTCTTATTGAGTCGCTTCAACATGAGAGTGGTTACGGCTCATTTAAATCTCTTCCAAGGCCTCGTATCTACAACACTGACTCTCGTTCACGCAAAAACAGTGGCGCTTTAAACTCATCTGCGTTTGATCGTCTAAACTTAGCCGTGCGTCTGAATGAAATGCCCCACAAATTTAATTCTAGCCTGCCTCGGGCTGTTAATCACCGAGTGGCGCGCAGTGAAATATACAGCACTACACTAGATATCCAAAATATATCTTGGGCCTCAGCCTATGGAAATCTCATTGCTAGCAGTGGTACAAATTGAGATTCCCTTTATCCAGACCACACTGGCACGAAATGAAAGTCACCAGCGGCCAAATCAAATATTTGCCAATGTCCACCTATACGGCCGCCGTGTCAGTTGTGGGTATAATTTGGCTATTAGCAGGTGGGTCAACGTTTTGATTTAATCCACTACACTAGATATCCAAAATATATCTTGGGCCTCAGCCTATGGAAATCTCATTGCTAGCAGTGGTACAAATTGAGATTCCCTTTATCCAGACCACACTGGCACGAAATGAAAGTCACCAGCGGCCAAATCAAATATTTGCCAACGTCCACCTATACGGCCGCCGTGTCAGTTGTGGGTATAATTTGGCTATTAGCAGGTTGGTCAACGTTTTGATTTAATCAGCGGCTAAACATAGTATTCAAACATCGAATCCCCCCGCTGCTCTTTTCAGTCAATAAGCCACAGTCAAAACATTTCTCCTGTCTCAGGCCAGCCGCTTGACAAGAGTTATTTAAAAGTGCAGCGGCTCCAGTCTCGTATCGCTCGCGGCCCAATTTGGAGCGGGACCCAGACACCGAGACTGCTGCGAATTCCCCCTCCGAGTGCAAAACGAGACCTCCGTTCGGCTCTTAACGACGCTAATAGAAATCGCAGTTCCAGTGCTGTGTAACGAGCAGGCGCTCAGCATCATTAATATGTATTTTCAAAGATGGAATTTCCAATGACTGCCAGCTAACTAAATAAAAAGACTCCGGTTGGTTTGGGTGGCCTGAAAGCGATCCAGGCTGCCTCGCGTCGGGCCCGGAGCCCCAAGCATCATGTCAGACTGTCCTCAGCCTCGAACCCGCCGCTTCTCGGAGACACGGCTCTCTGTAGACCCTTTGCGGCACGAGGAGGAAAAAAAGCACTCGTAAACCTTGAACCTTTATATTTATGACACACAGCCTGGTGGAGAGCTCAAATTGACTGTTATGTGAAGGTATGAAATTAGTCCAGGATGAGGAAACGTCTAATTATAGGTTCTGACCTGCAACTTAACACGCTCTGCTGTAAATCCAAGTCAGACCTGTTGGGTTGCTATTACTGCGCATGGCTCTCTTAAAGTTTACACAGATAGTCCTTCTCTTGTTATGTTATGCCGTTTCATTACAAGACGTAAAATGAGGAAATAATGATGACTGTCTTCATGTAGAATCCTTAGAGTTGCTGATAAACCTGTGGTTTAAACTATTTCGTCACACAGGAGCTCCAAAGATACAGCAATATATTAATTGAAGAGAGTTATGGGGTCCAGAAAAATGACATGACTATTACCAAATTTAGTAAGATATATTATCACAGTTTCCATAAAAATATGGAGCAGCACAACTGTTTTTAACATTGATAATAATCAGAAATGTTTCTTGAGCAGCAAATCAGCATTTTAGAATGATTTCTTAAGGATCATGTGACACTGAAAATTCAGCTTTACATCACAGGAATAAATTACATTTTAAAATATATTCAAATAGAAAACTATTATTATAAATTGTAATAATATTTCACAATATTACTGATTTTTCTGTATTTTTGATCATATAAATGCAGTCTTGGTGAGCAGAAGAGACCTTTCAAAAACAATAGTGGACTTGCATTGCTCATATTTTCTTGAGATGTGTTTTTTGATGTTGACACATGATATTGAGGATAATAATTAATATTCAGCTTTTCATTTTATTTATACAGAGAATTGAGAAGGTGACCAGAAACATGGATTCTAGTCAGTACAGTGATTTCTGTGAAAGTCGACAGCTGAGTTTTTGTGAGTATTTGTTCTCATGCATGAATCATTTTGTTTCATTTATCCATTTGGCAGACACTTTTATTCAAAGTGACTTACATTGCATTAAAGGTGTGCATTTTATCACTTCATACATTCCTTAGGAATCAAACCCATAACCTTGGTGTTGCCAGCATTCTGCTGTTTGAGCTAAAGGAATGCTTTTCTCCAGGATTCACTACATATGCATTGATAAATGCGACCGTTTTGTTGCTGCATGAGCAGGTCAGGTATGGTTTGTAGTATCAGTGTAGAGCGCAGCACTCCTCATGTCAGTTGCAGCCCGTCAGATATCGTCTCTGATGAGTTGTTCGGTCGGCAGTTCTGTGCCCGAGGACTTGTAAGAACACAGCTGTGGGATTGTGAACACACCACTGCTGGCTTTTGAAGGCCACATTTCAGCACTAATAACATGTTCACTGGCTTAGTGCCACTCCAGTAACTGTGATGTCTTACTGGCATCGAGCTGCAGGTCGGGACAACAGCACAGTAAATGTGCCTCAATAACCCTGTTACACAACACTAATGCTGAGTACACACAAAATCTGACCGAAAACACGTCACAGGATGGAAACTGAGCATTTGTGGTTAAATGGGGTATGTCTGACATTAAATACCTTATTGTACTCATGTAAATTGTGCAGTGTGCATTGTGTTTTACCTGACATTTTTTAATAGTATGCAGAAAAGGTATGCAGTGCTGAAAATTTCAAACAGTTATGGTAGTATGCTAGATTGTTGGCACATTGCATGCATGTTTAAAGGAATAGTTGAACCATAAAATTAAAATTTGCTGACCCTCAGGCCACCCAAGATGAAGATGCATTTATTTCTTTATCAGAACAGATTTGGAGAAATGTAGCATTGGATCACTTGCTCAGCAGTGGATCCTCTGCAGTGAATGGGTGCCGTCAGAATGAGAGTCCAAACAGCTGATAAAAACATCACAATAATCCACAAGTAATCCTCACCACTCCAGTCCATCAGTTAATGTCTTGAGAAGCCAAAAGTTGTGCGTTTGTAAGAAACAAATCCATCATTAAGATGTTTTTAAACTTTAAATCATTGCTTTCAGCTAAAATGAGAGACCTCTATCCAAACTATTGCTTTCTCCAATAAAAAAGTCATCTCATCTGAATCAGGAGAGAAATATGCACAGATCAAACACCATTTATGAGTGAACAAAAAGTCTAAAACTGTTCTAAACAAATATGTGGGTGGATTTTGATGTGAGAGGAAAATAGGGGATGGACTTTTTCACTGGAGGAAGCATGATTATGGATTATTGATTATTGCAGCTTTTCACTTCACAAGATATTAACTGATGGACTGGAGTGGTGTGGATTACTTGTGGAATATTGTGATGTTTTTATCGTCAGAATGAGAGTCCAAACAGCTGATAAAAACATCACAATAATCCACAAGTAATCCTCACCACTCCAGTCCATCAGTTAATGTCTTGAGAAGCCAAAAGTTGTGCGTTTGTAAGAAACAAATCCATCATTAAGATGTTTTTAAACTTTAAATCATTGCTTTCAGCTAAAATGAGAGACCTCTATCCAAACTATTGCTTTCTCCAATAAAAAAGTCATCTCATCTGAATCAGGAGAGAAATATGCACAGATCAAACACCATTTATGAGTGAACAAAAAATCTAAAACTGTTCTAAACAAATATGTGGGTGGATTTTGATGTGAGAGGAAAATAGGGGATGGACTTTTTCACTGGAGGAAGCATGATTATGGATTATTGATTATTGCAGCTTTTCACTTCACAAGATATTAACTGATGGACTGGAGTGGTGTGGATTACTTGTGGAATATTGTGATGTTTTTATCAGCTGTTTGGACTCTCATTCTGACGGCACCCATTCACTGCAGAGCATCCATTGGTGAGCAAGTGATGCAATGCTACATTTCCCCAAATATGTGAAGAAACAAACTCATCTACATCTTGGAAGACCTAAGGGAGAGTATTTTTCAGCAAATGTTCATTTCTGGTTGATCTATTCCTTCAGTTCAGCAATTGACCTGTTTTCATCTAACAAGTAAAAACATTTTGCATTTTTAATTCAATTTGATGTCTTTTTTGAGTCTGAACAAGTAATGAATCAAATTAAGAAATTGCAATTGATTTTTGGTGTTTTTACCACATTGGAAATGGAAAGTCAAATCAAGGGCATTGCATTGTAGGATATATAGTATCTCTAACTATACAGTTTGGCAGTATTGGTTTACTAATCTATTTTTTACTGAAATTTGGCATTGTGTACTACGAATAGTTGCTGTTCGTCAGAATGAGAGTCCAAACAGCTGATAAAAACATCACAATAATCCACAAGTAATCCTCACCACTCCAGTCCATCAGTTAATGTCTTGAGAAGCCAAAAGTTGTGCGTTTGTAAGAAACAAATCCATCATTAAGATGTTTTTAAACTTTAAATCATTGCTTTCAGCTAAAATGAGAGACCTCTATCCAAACTATTGCTTTCTCCAATAAAAAAGTCATCTCATCTGAATCAGGAGAGAAATATGCACAGATCAAACACCATTTATGAGTGAACAAAAAATCTAAAACTGTTCTAAACAAATATGTGGGTGGATTTTGATGTGAGAGGAAAATAGGGGATGGACTTTTTCACTGGAGGAAGCATGATTATGGATTATTGATTATTGCAGCTTTTCACTTCACAAGATATTAACTGATGGACTGGAGTGGTGTGGATTACTTGTGGAATATTGTGATGTTTTTATCAGCTGTTTGGACTCTCATTCTGACGGCACCCATTCACTGCAGAGCATCCATTGGTGAGCAAGTGATGCAATGCTACATTTCCCCAAATATGTGAAGAAACAAACTCATCTACATCTTGGAAGACCTAAGGGAGAGTATTTTTCAGCAAATGTTCATTTCTGGTTGATCTATTCCTTCAGTTCAGCAATTGACCTGTTTTCATCTAACAAGTAAAAACATTTTGCATTTTTAATTCAATTTGATGTCTTTTTTGAGTCTGAACAAGTAATGAATCAAATTAAGAAATTGCAATTGATTTTTGGTGTTTTTACCACATTGGAAATGGAAAGTCAAATCAAGGGCATTGCATTGTAGGATATATAGTATCTCTGACTATACAGTTTGGCAGTATTGGTTTACTAATCTATTTTTTCTGAAATTTGGAATTGTGTACTACGAATAGTTGCTGTTCGGACAAACTGCCCTCACTTTAGATAAAAGTGTCTGCTAAACAGGTAATCCATATACCATACATACAGGAAACTTACCTACTGTGCACAGTATGCATATTGCATACTACTTACTTTCTAATAGGTAGTTTGCTGTTCTGAAACTTCCCATTCCCCGTTTTTAAGCAACAGATCTTCTGTAAGCTATCCTTGCCAGTGGAACAAGATAAATCAGATAATTCTTCATTATGTAGTTTTAGGTTTTACAGATTGAACTTAAATTTACAGTAAAAGGTACATTTTATTAACTGATGTTAATATACTGTAAATGTAACAGTATTTTATATCCCATTAGGGTTTTATTAAAGGATTAGTTCACTTCCAGAATAAAAATTTCCTGATAATTTACTCTACCCCTGTGTCATCCAAGATGTTCATGTCTTTCTTTCTTCAGTCGCAAAGAACTTAAGGTTTTTGAGGAAAACATTCCAGGATTTTTCTCCATATAATGGACTTCAATGGGGACCAACGGGCTGAAGACGAGCATTAGTGGTTAAAAGTATAGAGTTTTTTTTTTTTTTTTTTAAAGAAAATGACCAATCGTTTGGCTAGATAAGAGCCTTATTCCTCGGCTGGAATCGTGTAGAGCCCTTTGAAGCTGCACTGAAACTGTAATTTGGACCTTCAGCCCATTGATCCCCATTGAAGTCCATTATATGGAGAAAAATCCTGGAATGTTTTCCTCAACCAGTGCGTTGTGATTGGCCGAATACCTCAAGCGTGTGACGGAAATGTTACGTCCCTTACCATATTGTGATGATGCGGCAACCACATGTGACGACCCCGGGCTGGACTCTGACAAGAGCTTGTAACACTCCAAAGAGAAAGGACAAATTGAAATCGCATCATATGACTCCTTTAAAGTTTTTCACCATATGTAGTAAGGGAACCAATTAACAGGTTTTTACTGTAACACCTTTAGAGTCTTTTACATTGAAAATTACAATAATTTTTTATAGTGTGCATCAGCACATTATGTTCTCACTCAAAATGACTCAAACTGTCTGCTCTGTTTAGCTAAGAAGGCCTCGAAATTCCGTGAGTGGCTGGACTGCAGCAGTCTGGATGTGAAGCCCAATGCCATGTCCATGGAGATCCTGTCTTATCTGGCCTACGAGACGGTGGCCCAGGTGAGCTGCTGTCAGACCCAGCCAAACGAGGAGCATGAAATCACATTGTGCTTCAGATGAACTAAAACGACACACTGTCTCATTTCAGGAAATCACTCTGACTTTTGCTAAATTGCCACTTTACTTTCGCTCAGTCAGTGCAATAAACCCCTGAAATTAGACCCCTGAAGCGTTCCAGTGCTTTGAGCGTTCAATATGATGTTTCCTGGGAAAAATATTATCATCTTGTTCTTCATATCAAGTGCCATTACTCATAAGCTGATATGGTTTTATATTTTAGGTTGTTGACCTTGCCCTGTTGGTTAAACAAGATATGACTCCCAAAACAGGCGATCCGTTTCAACACGCCATATCAGCAACTTTCATCCAGTACTGCAACTCCTCGGCTGAGGTAAACAAATCGCTTTTTAGTTTACTTTTTGGTAATCAGTGTTGTTGTTGTTAACTAAATGACTATTAAAAACGAAATTAAAAATAAAGTTTAAATAACATTAGATGAAAGTTTAAATGACAATTAGAAATGTTTCATTGGCAGTGAAATAAAATGTTTAAGTTGATGTCCTAAAATACTCTAAAACGGAAATGAAAATAAATAGAAATATAAAAAAAAAATCAAAATGACAAAAATACATAACAAAATTACTAAAATTAAATAAAATAAAAAAATTTAAATATTAATAAATACTATAATAGTATATAAATAATGCTAAAATAACACTGTGGATGTTTATTTAGAAATTATAAATTGTTGTTAAAGCAGTTATCCCCAATAATTGTGTGTGTGTGTGTGTGTGTGTGTGTGTGTGTGTGTGTGTAGTTCCCTCAGAAATACAAATCCAGTCATCATTTATTCAGCAGAAAACAATGAAAATGAATTGACAAATGCAGTCAAGCTCCTAAAATTGCAAAGTAAAGACTAGCATGAACATTTTTGTTTTCAAAAGAAAATGATTTTGGGTGAGTAAATGATGACAGGATTTTATTTTTTTATTATTTTTTATTTTTTTTTGGGGGATGATCTGTTCCTTTAAGTCAATCACTATTAAAATATGTTTTATTATGTTAGTTGCTGATTGGTGATGCTATAGAATAGTTCAAATGACTTTACTGGTGATAACGATCATGTCAGCAGCTTTCTCCGAGCAAGAAAACCAAACAAGAGCGTCCTGCTCCGCGGGTTTGACCTCTCGTCAAGCAGGACCGCCAAGTTTGTCCAAGGTGGTTTTGAGCTGCAGGATCCATTCCATGGATGGGCCTCTGTGTCATTGAAACCACAAAAACCTCATCTGTCTCTCTCTCCCTTTTTCCGTACTCGGCCAAGGCCACTCCGGGTCTGGAAGAGCACATGGTATTTTTTAGCCTGAATTCCAGTATTGTTTTTCTCCTAAACCTTGGGGGTCTGTCGCGTTCCCATGTGGCGAGAGTGACAGAATGACCCTGTGGTTTGAGTGATAGGACCAAGACGTGTTGTAAGACTGCAGGTGATGTTTTTCAGGGTCGTGTTTTGTAGCCGTGACCTTTTTACGTCATGAGTTGCCTAAAAGCGAGTGTTGTGTATGAGAAGGGTGGGCACATTGTGATTTTGTATGTGTATCAGTCGTCTAACATCACTCTTGGAAAAATAATAATGAATTTGTGCTCACGTATGTGATTTTTCTGTCTTATCTTTAGGCTGCAAGCACCAAAAAGGAGACGGACTCTCCGGAAAACACACCACCGTCCACTCCCAGCGGCCCTCTGACGGGACAGCAGGGAAAGATGCACTCCATGGCCCAGGGCAACGGTGGGCCGAACCAAGATGGCAGCAGTAAGGTTAAACAGAGGAAAAGGAAGAAGGTACACAAATATTGACTGATCATATAGCCTAGCTAGCTTCCAGTGCATTACAGATGAGTGTGTGATCACTGCACCAATAGTGTTTGTTTAATGGAATTGCAGTGTGTTTATTTGAGAAACCCGACTGGGCCAGACATAACAACAGGCTCAACCAATGGGGTGAGTTGTGGGCGGGGCTACCTGTTTCTCCAGGAAATAACACGCTTTACCTTTAAGTAGTGGTGAACCAGGAATATTTCTGTTATTTAACATAAGGTGAAGTGTGTCGGTTTGGCACCACTAGTCATTTATTCACATTTAACATGGACTTGTACAGTAAAATGTATGATTTCCTTAAAGGTTTTGTAAATGATATAAAATTATATATTTTCAATGTATTTTTTAGCTGATAATATATATATTATATAGAATAATAATTATATTATTATTAATTATTATTATTATTATATTAAATAATAATTTTAATGAATAAGTAATATAAATAAGAATTTAATTAATTTGATTGAAATGTATTATTAATAATACATTGCTTGAGAATTTAATCATCATAAGACAATAATAATATTAGTAGAAATAATAATAATAATACATGTTATTATTGTTATTATTTCTAAAATAAATGATTTATATTATAAATATTATGGCATTGTATATTACAAATATTGTTGACAAATTGCTTTTGTAAATCTTCTCTAGCGTGCTTCCTAGACTAGTTAACCTGTAATATACCTGGAATTGTGTATTACGGATATTGTTGACTCTTTGATGAATTTCTTTGGTCATTCTTATTTGTAAGTCACTTTGGATAAAAGCATCTGCTAAATGCATAAATGTCAATGATTAATAATAATAAAGAGTTTATTTAAATTATTATTGTTATTATAGTATGTAAGCATGAATGTATGTACTGTATATGATGATTAAATTCTCAAACAATGTACTATTAATAATACGTTTTAATAAATAATTACATTATTTTTAGATAATAATATTATTATTATATATAATTCTTAGCTAAAATATACTTCAATGTGTTAATATATAGTTCAATGTGAACAAATGACTAGTGGTGCCAATTTCTACACTAAATTCTTAACTTTTATGTTACATTTGAAGGCGGTTCAATCTATTACTGCAAAAATCTCCCGTCTGCCATTGGTCAAACAAACAGATAATCCCGCCCCAAACTCACACCAATGGGCCACTCAGGAAACCAAAGAAACAACCTAATGCTGTTTATTTTACACTAGAAGTAAAACCCAGAGGTTATTTTATCATAGATTCCAGCCTCTTCATATGCAGTGGAAACATTAGCAAGAAATATGACTCAATATTTTCCTACTCGTCCTGTTTTACTGACTCCAGATTCTCTGATGTTTATTGCAAACATCCAAATAGGGAAGTTGTTTTTCCCTCGTCTGCTAAGAGATACTGAGTTGAAATTGTTCCCTTCCCTCCAATGACTTCAGAGACACTGCAATTGCAGCCAATCACACACAGCACTAACGTTTACTGTCAGGCCTCTATATATCAGAACCACCCTGTGCTGCGAGTTCATAAAGCATCAAATGACACATAGCATTTATATCTCTCCAGAGGTAAAGCGCCGGCCGATTTTGATTCCCAAAAGTGTGTGTTTGTGTGCACCGTGTCCTCGCCGGGCTGTGTTTGTGCACTACACTGCAGGACTCCCACCGTGTTTTTGAATTAGCAATAATGTGAGCTGTATTTTCTCTGTCTTCTCTGTTGCAGAGCGTGGCGGCCTGTGGCGCGGAGGCTCAGAGCAGTGCCATCCAACCAGCCCACATCAGAGAGGCCATCAGGCGCTACAGCCACAAGATTGGCCCGCTCTCCCCCTTCTCAGTACGTAATAACAGAGCCGTAAAAGAGTTATATTTATAATCGCAGCGCAGCCCCATTTTAAAGTGGTCAAGCCCTAAAGTATTGGAATTGTTTAGCGCAATTTGTGGTTAGTGTAATTTTCCTCATAAAAGTCACATAACTCTACTGGAGAATTAAATAAGCGGAATTTCGATCCTTTTTGGAAATACAAAGGAGATTTAATTTTGTTTTGTTTTCCGTAAGTTTTGTTTACAGCTGAAGAAATGCCTGCTTATTTCGCACGCTTACATATGCGACTTTGCAGCTCGCCGACTGCAAGTTATAATTTTCCATCAGGCGCAGAGGTGTGGGTGTCTTAAGTGCTAGCCTGCGTTTGAGAAATGGCTTTTGGAGGCTTCAAGGCTTTTTCACAGCCAATTTAGAGGCTTTTGCTATTGTGGTAAATCTGCAATTCACAGGTAATGAGCAATTTACCAATAATGGCCTACTTGATGGTTCCCAAGCCAACATCTGCCAGAAAATCTGGCAATGTTGGTTTTGTATGGCTGTTTTTGTTTTAAATACTTATATTTGTTACTTTTCATTGTGATGTAATCAGTGTTGGTAGTAACGCATTACAAAAGTAATAATATTACAGTAGTAGATTACTTTTTGCTGTAACGCAGTAATATATAACGCATTACTAATACAATTTGGGTAATATTATTACTCGTTACAATCTCAGTAACACAAGTTACAACATATTTTAAATCAAAATTATTTGGTGAATTTACCAACACCGCAAAACAGCATAGGAGAAAAAATTCCTATTGCTGGAATTAGATGGTTGAGATGACTGCAGAGACGGATTCTACATTTGTGAGATGGACACACTCCTGTTATTTTCAGTTAATCGGTTAAAAGGATAAGAATGCATAGTCAGGTGCAATATGTGCGACACCAAACTCTCAACATGGAGAAATAGCACGAGTAAAACCTGGAAACACCTGGACTGGTGCCACTAACACTAAGCTATCGGAGAGAGCTGCGGGTCAGAGAGGAGAAAAAATACGGCGGACGAGCGCAACGCAGACAAGCAAAATTACGTTTAACTAAAAATAACAACATTTGTTTTTATTAAATCATAGTATTATAATGAATATGTGAAATATTTGACTTAGCCTAATTAGCAAAATGAAAGGAAAAGACTGAGAGATATGCTGAGTTTGGTTCATAGGCTATTTGTGTGGCGCGGCGCTCTACGAAAGTCCACGGAAAGGAAACCGAGATGACAGAAATAAAAGTAAACACATTGCAGTTTCGAATTATCTGTATGACCAAAAATGACTTTTTTTGTTGTTTGTTTCCGCTGTTCGATCGCGCCAGCGCCTCACGCACACACATCTACAGCATTGCAAACGTTGCAGCCTGTTCATTTTCAGAATAAAATAGTCAACCAAACATATAGATACACTGGTTAATTTAAATAGTGCGTACTGCGTAGTTACAATCCATGCCGTTCAGCCTGAGCTCGGGCCAAACACACATTTGCTCATGTGACTAGGATGTTTTTTAAGCGCGTTAAGTAAGCCTGGTTTATATCATAAATAATAGTTTAGCATTCAAATACATCTCAAATATGGACACATTTAATTTGATTAATGCCGAATGAGAGAGGTGGGCTGCACGAGAACGCCGTTTACTTTCAGTTTTGCATTGAATTAGCCTAATTCGTTTTGGCCTGTTTAGCAACTTATAAATTTTCATTCTTGTTTTCTTCTTAAACTATAGCCTATAGGCTAGGTAATGTGTTTATTGTTTGTGCATTATAACATTTCGCTTTATTTACTGGTGTTATTATGAATGTAATAATACAGTTTGTTTAACCTAAACTACAATGTAACATTAATGTAGACCTACATACCGGTATCTAAATATGATTTTATAATTTTATGCTTTATAGACCTACCACATTACCCTCCACTGGATGTAGAATGAGCAGCAATAAACTACATTTTGGCATTTTATAATACTTCTGTGGATATTTTGGTGAAAGTAACTCAGAAGTAACTCAAAAGTAGTGTAACACATTACAATTCAGAGACAGTAATATTGTAATGTAACTAATTACTTTCAAAAGACAGTAACTAGTAATATTTAATGTATTACATATTGGAAGTAACTTGCCCAACACTGGATGTAATTCAATTATCAACTTACAAAGCACTAGATCACTTCTAGACTCACAGAAAGACTTCTTATATAGTCTGGTGAAATATAAAACATGGTTAGCATAAGTATTTTTTTAAGAAACTGATAAATCAGTGTGCAACTCACTGCCATGATGCAGAGGTGTTGCTATGCTGTTGCTAAGGTGTTTTGAGTGGCTTTTGGCACATTACTATGTGGCTGCTAGGGTGTTGCTATGTGGTTGCTAAGGTGTTCTGCATGTTTTTTTAATGCAGTTGCTTCGGAGTTCTGGGGTGCGTTTCCCAAAAGCATCGTTAGCTAACTATGGTGGTTCGTTCCATTGAACTCTATTGGTAACGACGGAACTTGCGACCATAGTTGCTTTTGGGAAACGCACCCCTGACTGGTTGTGGCGTTGTTACCCTCAGGATGCTTGAGAGTTTTTTTGGTTTGTAAGGGGTTGCTACGTGGTTGCTAGGGTGTTGCTAGGTGATTGCTAAGGTGTTCTGTATGTTTTTAATGCGGTTGCTTCAGAGTTCTGACCAGTTGCTATGGCGTCGTTACCCTCAGGAACTTTGAGGGTTTTTTTTTTTTGTTCCTACAAGGTTACTATGTGGTTGCTAGGGTGTTGCTAATGCGGTTGCTAGGTGGTTGCAAAGGTGTTCTGTAGGTTTTTATTCAGTTACTTCAGAGGTCTGACCAGTTGTTATACCATTGTTACCCTCAGCAGGTTTGAGGGGCTTTTTTGTTTTTAAGGAATTCTATGTAGTTTCTAAGGGGTTCTGGGTGGTTGCTAAGGTGCTATTGGATGTTGCTATGCTAGGGTGTTCTAACTGGTTGTTAAGCCATTGCTGTAATAAGCAATTTGCAATAGTTGTTTTGCATGGCTGTTTTTGTTTTAAATATTAATATGTTACTTTTTACAGTGATGTCATTCAGTTATCAGCTAGCACTAAATCACTGTTTGAATTCATTTTACACCAGATTTATCTTGTTTTAGAAAAAGAGCTCCCTGGAAATGCATAACATCCTGAGATATTTCACTCCCATCTCTTGCGTGTTGTTTGTTCCAAAAATTCAGTAAGAACTGCTTGCCTTTGCAAACCAAAGCATAATGGAAGTATGTTCTTATTACATCTCTAAATTAATTTAAAAGTTTTTCAATTTCATTGTCTCCAAGCAACGCAGGACAAATGTGACTGGATTTCCATGGCATAAACCATGAGTCCGGCATGTAGGAAACTGGGAGTTGTGCAGGGACGCGGTGTATTGTTTAATATATAAAACAGGTGTTATAAGATTTTCCAGGGTATGATGCTGAGTGAAGACTTCCAGATGTTCTCTAGTGCCACTTGTGTTCACCTTTGATGAGTAAATCTCGGCTCCTTACTGGGAATGGCAAAGGAATAATTAGACGGGGGGATGCGAGTGACTGAGTGAGTGAGTGCCGTCATAACCGAGTTATCATGTAATTGGCTGGGTTTTATTGCAACTGGAGCCAGTTTAAACCCATGATTAATTGCATCAATAAGCACTTTTCATTCTGGTCTTTTAAAAAACCCTAAAGGTAGAATTAAGCCCTTGTTTGGAAGGTCAAGCGTATGTGGGGTTGCTGACAGACGTGAGGCACGCCACTTTCTCATTAACGTGGACCGTTATCTATTGGCGTGTTCGGCGGCATGGTCATGTTTCAGACATCCGACATTGTACAATCGAGCCAGCAGTTAAGTCGACATATTAACTTCAAATGCATGTGAGATTCTCAACACTCCCCCAGATTGAAACGAAGAGAAATCGCCAATCTGGAAACGGTTCGCTTTCACTCAAGTTTCACCATTGTGGATGTATAGCATTATGTAATTTAAATGTCTGCCCCAGTGACTGTTGTTGGAGGCTTTATTGGCCTCAAATTACCAAAATCAAGTCATTGTGAGATTATTAACTTTGAAATTGAATTAAGAGGGTAACGCAAGACCTACAATCATTCTGAGATCATTAGATTACACTCACGCACAGGGCAACGCAATTACCTTCCCGTCCGTAAGGACAGCAAGTCACCGGCCAAGAAGAAGTATACTTTTATTTGATTCCAGAGTCTGCTGTTGTGGAAAAGCGGCTCATCAGATGGAATTGTTTTTCTTTTTGTGTTTGTTTCTGCCAGTTTTGTAGATGTCTGGCGAAAACATCCTTCTCTGGCGCTTAATTTGACCTGCTAATGCTAGGAAAACTTTCTAGTGCTTTCTAGTGTTGTAAGTACATGCAGTGAAAGAAATGTTGGTGAGTAACTAGTTACATGTAACGGAATTACGTAATTTAATTACAAAATAAATGTAACCGTAATCTTTTACAGATACAGAGAAAAAATGTGTAATTAAATTACAGTAACTTATGAAAATGTTAACGATTATAAAGGGGGTTACATATGAATATTTTCTGTAAAAAGCTAGGATATGTTGAATAATATTAGTTTGTTGCTTTGCCTGTTTTTGATGTGCACAATGCCTCCTGCCATTTAAAGGCAGTTTAGTAAAGCGTTGCTATTGTGATGCTTTTGATTGGTTCTCTTTGAATTTGTAGCGCACCATGTCCGCCAATTACATCAATCCACATTGTCACTGAAAGCTTTAGGCTACAACCAGTCTGAGAGTTGCCACCATGGCAAGTGATAAAAATGCGTTCCAGTGCTTTAAAATCTGTTTAAGTGCTGTGCTTTAAAATTAAATGATAAGAATCTTAAAGGGGTCATATGATGCGATTTCAATTTTTCCTTTCTCTTTGAAGTGTTACAAGCTCTTGGTGCATAAAGAAGATCTGTAAAGTTACAAAGACTAAAGTCTCAAATCCAAAGAGAT